TCTTTCCCTGGACTGCCTTTTGTTCCTTAAATCTCATGTAATTTCTCTCTGTTTATGTAAATATACCTATATGTGTATATGCATATATATGTGTCCATATCTATAGACAAACACATATGTGTATCTGTATTTATGTGAATAAGTGTATTTCTGTGTTTGTATATATGTGTGTATACATGTATACACACATATATGTGTACGCTTTTTCATAGAGACTCAGACTAATAGATGAAAGAGTGGATGAAGCCTCTGGAATACTACAATATCTCTCAAATGTAGCTTATAACTTCATTCTTTCTGAAGGGTACCATGGCATTTTTGTTCATTTCTGAAAAGCTACAATGAAATTGATCTGACTTGACTGTTTCTCCAAAACTGGTTGCAAACCAATTTTTCAGAGTACAAAAATCTTAAAGAGTAGTTGTGATTTTGTTTTGACCAAATCAGTTTTGTGGGAATGGATCTCACTTCTGCTTTAATGAGGTAGAACAATATCCAGTTTTGGATGAGACAGAGAAATTCAGACTGTTCTCAGTGAAACTAATTTTGATATTAATATTTCAGCACTGAGTTTTTTTCCTCTTCAGATTAAAGAAAGGGTAGTCTTGCAGTTGAGGAGCTGGACATAAGATACAGTTTCTCAGTTTGCATGCTCTGCAACTTGCTTTCTGTTTGACCTTTGACCAGTCACTTAATTTCGCTGTGATTTAATTTTCTGCCTTTAAAAAGGGATATAATGTTCACCCTTTTCCACCCCTTGTGTTTCTCCTTTAATTTGCTGACTATCCAGGGAGAAGCTACCCCTTGGAGTTACATGCTTTGGAGTCCCACAGGGATGTTTGTCCCGTACCATTAGTCATGGTAGTAATAAAATAAAATATAAAAAAAATTGTAAGGCTGCTGATTATTTAAAACATTTTCACATTTACTACAGTCATTTTTTTCTTTTAATCTTTAGTGTCTTCACTACTGCTCTGGGAATGTTTGGAAAAAGACAGAGACGAGATCAATGTACTGGTAAGGTGCACAAATGAAAACTTAGTTTAAGGGAGGAATATCATTACCAAATTGTTGTTGTTTTTTCAAGAGATTGGGCTTAGGGAGTTGGGAAACTGGAAGTTTAGAAGCCAGATGCTTCTTCTGCTGTCAACAGATGTTTTTTTTTTAACAGGAAACAAAATACAAAGTTCTTTCTTTCCGGCACTTAGTGCAAGAGTAAACAGATTTGGTTCCTCACAGTAACAAGGGCGCAACATAGTTAGCCCTTTATGGGGCAAAACTCCTATAAACTGTAACTGAATTTTAATTTGAATGAAGTCGGCCAATTTCCCCATCACATCATCACGTAAGCAACTTGAATTTTGCTGTAGCCATCACACTCATCTCCCATTCCAGTTCCTTGGTGAACATAACACAGCTAGCAAACAACCCTAGCATATTTGAACAAAATGTCCTCAGTGATATTCTCCCTTACAAAAGTGGATCAAGTGGAGCATTCAAAAGTTGGTGCTCTTTTTCTTTTCATGCCTTGTGTTCCGGATCATGTTAGATATAAGCACAAAGACATAAGAGGAAGTAAAAGCATGTGAATAAGAACAACTGGACATAGAATTGGAAGAAGGATCATTGCTGAACTCCACTTGTAACTTCAGTCTGCTTGGTAGCCCCTTACAGAAAAACTCACTCTCAGTCTGTGAAGCCAGGTCTTTATTCAATTGTTACTACTTCCACCAGAATACTGTGGTACTCTACTGAAAATGTACTTTCAGTATATTTACGCAAGTAAAATATGAGATGTACTGTATTTCACTGGTCTACAAGGTCTGTTATCCTACCGAAGAATTTCAGTAGGATATTTCAGTAAGTCAGCGAGCGGATAATTCAGTAAGTGATCAGGATGACCCAAATCCAAGAAAGATGCACTGTGTTTTAAGTCACAGCTGGTCTCCAGAACTTCAGTCCCTCCAAATTCACTTTTCCACATAGACTTTGCTGGATAATTGTGGTTGATTAGCAAGTCTGGAACTGCCCAGGTCACTCCTGTCACCTTATGGTTTAAGCAGAAGTTCAGTCCAGAATTATAGAGAAATATTTTGTCATCTAGGACCCCCATAGCACTGCATACCACTCCAAATACCTCCTTTTTCTCCTTTACTCTCCTCAAGATTTTTCCAGCCACAGGCATTGTGTATTTTTAATCTTTGATCTCTTCGACACTTCTTTGCAGTGGCATCGGTAATCAGTGGGGATTGGGCATATCCACTCCTGTGGGGCATTATGAAAGGGCGTCTAGGCAAAGGTGAAATTTTCAGCGTGTCTTTGTTATAGCTGTATTCTACTCATACAATACCCCCCTTGATATGAGAGATGGTTAGATAACTTGGCTACCAGGTAATGGTTCTTAAGTTGTTTCTTGCAGATGTCTGAAATGCACGTTATCAGCACAGGCCCAGCAGTGGGCATACTGGGGTTCTCAGAGTTTGTTTGCAATTCAGATATGGAAATTTTTCTGTTCACATTCATTCCCATTCTCATTTTTTTTCCTTTGACACTCATCTTCAATAGTATCTTTCTTACCAGAAACTTTCCCTTTCAACAGATTTTATTGTTAATATACAATGCTGTTCTTCCACTTTTATTTCTGTCTTTCTCAAACAGTTTATATTCTTCAAAAGTTGTGTTTCACCAAGTTTCTGAAATCCCCCAAACATTTGAACTGATGTCTTCTGCTGATATTTCTAATATCCATTTTTTTTGCACAGGAACAATAACACCTTCTTTTTAAATTTTAGCATTTTTCATCTAATTTCTCAACAGCAAAAAAAAATATACACTGTCCTCATTATAGTCTTAAGGCAACCACAAAGTACCTCTTCGCTACAGAAAAAGTGTAGGCTCTTACTCCTGTCCTGTTCTCTGTCAATTCCAATTCACACAGAAGACCTCCTCACCTGAGTTTGGTAGTGTATTCAGGTAAGGGTAGGTGGCATGTCTGGGGATATGGGTTAACATCCATGTTTTGTTGTCACTTGTAACCTGTATGTTACATACTTAGGTAACAGGCCTAAGCTATTAGAGGGTTAACTGTCTGCCATTCCTCCTGATGTGTGAGGTACACTCAAATACTCACCCAGGATGTGTTTACATTCTCATTTTAATTTGTCTTGTGGAGCAAATCTCTGAATAGCCCCCACTTACTGCACTTCTGATACTCCTTACAGGGTGCTCTCAGAGCGTGTCATCCAGGTTCTGTTCAGGAGAAACTAAGCTGGAAGGCACCCTGAAATGTGAAGTGGATGTTAGGTCCTGAGCACTGCCAGTTTCTACAGATCTGCTCCTGATGCACCTATATGATCTGCTAATGTATTCATAGTCACAGTTCATTGGGAACAACTAGAGAAAACCTTGATGTGTTGCTGCACTATGAGATTTGCTGCTGAAATAGCATATTATGCCAAGGATTGCAAAAGCTAAGGAAGATGAGACACAATCTCTCCTTTCCCTTCAGAAGGAAATTTTAAGCAGATGGGAAGGATGGAGATATCTTTACTTTTTAAAGATGTTTGAAATGGCTGAGAGATGTGGAAACTGTAAGGGGAAAGTTGGTGCACAAAAGATAGGTAAACTGGTAAAGAACATATATCTATGAATCCACAACCTATTACAGAAATGTTTGGGGAACAGAGATAAGAGAATTTGCATGAGTTTTCTTGAAAGTCTGGGCAGTGGAGACTCTATGGGGGACCAGAATTTCTTATGCTGACAATGACCTATGGGAAAGTTAAGCAAAAGAACTTTACTGACATTCATGCAAACATAATTCCTGCTACTGGAACAGAGCATATGGAACTTTGTGGCTTGTGGTATGTAGGAGCACTTCTTAGCTGAACTTCATTATCTCTTCTTGCCTTAAAATGTCTGAATTTCACAGAGGTCTGCAGGGGTAACACGGTCCGGCTTTAATTGTTGATTTTCATTTATATATGTTGTTAGACTATC